TTTCATCAAGATAACCTACAGAGAATTCCGAACTGAACACTTTATTTAATCTATTTGAATAGACTGTTCTCGTTCCATTGTTCATGTCTAGGGGAGATAACTCTTCTTGTTTTTATTTTTAATGCTGCTCAGTTATTGCTCGCCGTTTCGACTAATTCCAAGTACACACTGTCTGACTCAGGGATTAAATTCACAATTAATATACCATTAAATTCATGAACCATCGCTTTAACCCATTAAGTCTCGTGGTATCGCCATCGTTGTTACAGAAAAGTAAACAATTGACGACTAGTATACTAATGAGAGAAATGCATCTAATAATTTCGGTCTAAGTTTGTACTGCACTTGGACTTTTACAGTAAAATATAACCGCCTTGAGTGTTTGTAAAATCTATCACCAAAAACTCGAATATGATAATCAGAAACGAAGAACGAAAATTGCCTTTCACTTCCAGTGTAGGCTCGCTGATAGCTGATGTGGCCATTACAAATCCTAGCACAAAAGGTGAAGAAGCAAACGTAGGGTGAGGATGATTTTTTACTGAAATACCATTGTGCTGGTTTCTCTCTCTCTCTCTCTCTCTCTCTCTCTCTCTCTCTCTCTCTTTTTTTTTGCAGGTTTTACAATTATTCTTAAAAACATAGCATCGAGGTGATAATTTATATTTTTAAATGTGTTTTTTAACAGGATCTTCTGTTGTTGTCCATTACCATTACTTAATGCGACAAAGATTGCTGCTCTTTTTAAAGTGGTCCTTGTAATCTTTACAGAAAAATTACACGGACCTTTTTTTAAATTTGATGTTTTCAGTATACATTCATTACTCATAGGTGACTAAAAATGCCAATTTTCAAAAAAATCTACCCACAAAATTAACAAATACCCAAATATATTCACTAAGATCGGGGTTCTTCGTGGTTGAAATATATACATATCCTCAAATATTTCCAGTGGTTGCTGTTTGCCTTTGTAAAAAGTTCGGGCTTTGTTGTTTAAGCTCGATAGATCCTCGTCAATTGAAAGAATGGAAAGTCAGCTTTCCTGTCCCGCGCCAGGAAATTTTTCTCGCCGGAGTCGATCCTTCAAATTTACAAATCAACCTTACATGGAGTATTGCTGCCATATATGGTCCGGTGCCCCTTATGTTTGTCTCAAGGTTCTTGATAAGCTCCAGAGACGGATATGCAATGTAATTGGCCCTGATCTGGCATCTCGTCTGTAGTCGCTCTCTCACAGATGGATCCGTCGCCTCCCTCTGTCTTTTTTACAAATACTTTCATGGTAACTGCTCCAATGAGCTGCTTTCGCTGGTTCCCAGACTTCATGAATTTAAGCGTTCAACTAGGCTGGCATCTCGCTCACACCCTTTCACTGTCGAAACTGTTAAATGTAGCCGTCTCTTCTACTCCAATAAGTTCATGTCTCGCACCTTTCGCCTGTGGAACTCCCTACTCTCTTCCTGTTTCCCTGATAGCTATAATCTCCAACTATTCAAATGTAATGTCAATCGACGTCTCCAGATGCACTGATCTATCCCCTATCCTTCTCTTCATCCTTTCCTCTATCACTCTTATTTGCTCTCACTCCAACTCTTTGTAACCCCTTGCGTGCTAGTGGCTTCCCGCCTTGCTTGTGGCGAAACGCTTAAAAAGCCCCACCCCCCTCCAAAAAAACAAAGACTTTCAAACCCCATCTTTTCCGATTCTGTAATTAGTAATACATATTAAATATGAGATCCTAATCTGCCTAGTGGCTGATGAAATTGTATATTTCCTCTGTCACAGTTGACTGAACTTCCATTCGTTACACGTGACAAGTCTAATGCCGGCATATGTTGATTTTGGGAAGCATGGTTTCCATACTTGTACTACATGTTAGACAATAAAACGAGTATTAAAGAAAGGAAACTGTGAAGGTCCATGATCACCTAAAAGAGACATGATGCTTAAATGGAAAAACACATCATTAAATGTATTTGATATTGCTGCAACATCTAGTCTGATGCATTTGCTATATATTTAAAGATTCTTGACAAAATCCAAAGAAGAATCTGAAACGTTACCGGTCCTGACCTGGCATCTCGGCTTCAGTCACTTTTCCACTGGCGTAACGTAGTTTCCCCTGTACCTTTTCTGTAAATATTTCCATAGAAATTGTTTTGATGAGCTTTTCTTTTTCTCTTATTCTTCCACACTCAGTCACCACTTATGTCTTAGTGACTTGATTGCCTTTCTTGGGATGAAATAATTAAAAAAAAACATAATTATCGATTATTACAGATCCTTTATTCTCATATTCTTTCATTGGGTCTTAATGGCTTTATCACCTTGCTTGGGGTGAAATGATTAAAAGATTAATTAAGCAGTCGCAGCTTCAAGAGATCGTAAAATTCCTGACATAATGTATCGTTCTTTTATGAAAGAATTTAGACTTAATGTAAGTTCATAGAAATCCAGTGAAAATGTTTTGGTGACTGAATAATGAATTTAAATGAATAAA